ACAGGGATGTGCAGAGGATGTCAGAGGAGGCCCAAATTCAATAAAAAAGCACTTTTTGCAAATACAAAAATGAATGTGTGAAAAGACGGCTTTTGTTTTACTCTTTAAAGCAGAGATGTCAAACTCAAGGTAAAAAATATCATATGTCTATCCTGTTAAATAAATGTTTTGCCCTCGACATAGTCCCAGTTTTTAATTTTGGCTCATGTGATTGAGTTTGACACCTGGCTTTGGGGGGCTTGAGGTGTATGTGGAGCAAATATCCAACCTAAAACTATCTTCATCACTGTGTCCAGTTACTGTTACTGCCTACCAGAAGACCCCATTCTACACAACATTGAATCAATCAATTATAGCAGTAAAACAAATTTATAAGTCTATAAACATTTTATTCACATTTAAGTGTGTATTTCATTTTGAATTTGGATTACTTTGGCCTATGTCGGACCAAATTGCCTCATTTTGTTCAGCAGCCGGTATTGGCTATTCTTCCAATTCTGTCTCCGTTTCCTCTGTTCTCTCTCTCTCTGTTCTTCTTCTTCAGTCAAATCCTTTATTTTTGTTATTTTCCCTTCTCTAACTCTCAGTCTCCATCTCTTTCTCTCCTGTCTTAGAAATGATTCTTTAATTCTGGCTGTATATTGATTTTCTCTCTCCACTTTTTTAATACTCTCTGTTCCCCCTAAACTACTTCAGGAGAATAAAATGATCTAAACAGTTGTGATACCATAGTTGTGACACAAGAAATATTAACATTGAGATACTATTAAAATACTATAAAACTATGAACCTTATTAAACCCTGTCTACCACCGATGCACTCTGCATATGTGGAATGTCAAAATGGATTATTTTGAGTGACATCTGCCCTTCATATTGCCTGATTTTATTACATTTTAATGAATGCCTGGCGGTGTTGACAAAAAGTGGGGACACAACTTTGAAATATGCATGTGTCATTGAAAATAAACTTTGCTCTGATATGAGATATTATTATGTTTTTCTTTTAATGAAGCAAGCTCCTTTTAATAATTACAAATATTTATATCCATTTTATTGCACATTTATGATTGAACCCTTCTCTGTTGACAAGCTGTTTTAGATATAGTTGGAAGACAGTAAGTGTCATAGATTTGATATAATAATCATTAAATTAAATTGAGGAAGATAATTGTGTTGAATGTGTTTTGTCCCATGTCTCAAGACAGACAGACAGACAGACAGACAGAAAGAAAGATAGATAGATAGAGCGCCAGCTGCAGCGAAGCAGTACCAGCAACTCTGTCGTAAAGTTATCAATCGTTTGTGGACAGCAGTCTGACGCCACCGGACGCTGGACAGATCAATTAGCTGTAATCATTGTCTCGGTCCAAATATTAGTCGTTTAGTGGCCTCTTTCATGTCTTCAATGCTGCTTATATCCCTGTTTGTTCTCTGAGTCTACTTTATCTAAATTACAAGTTGGCAAGCTGCGGCGCGCGCTTTCAAGACAAATCAGAAAATCGAACAATAGGCTCGTATTTGTGCACACGTTTATCAGTGAGAAGCAATAGTTAGCGCAGCCTGAGCTGAGACGAACTGAGCTCCGCTGCTACCAACATAACTAGATGACTGTACACGTGCAACAGGTCGCAGACGCACGAGAGAGGCAGTGTTACTGACAGTATTGTAGCTCCGCAAACACACGACTCTGTTATTGTTTAAGACTTTGCGGAAACGTGTGTTGGGGAATAAGCGTGATCTTTGTATCGCCTTAGCCGCACTGATATGATGCATTTCACAGGAAAACTCCAAACATTCAAATCATGAGTTAATTACTCGCCTTTCAGCTGCGCTTTTAGGCCAGTGGTTTGCAGTTACCCGGTATATTACCTTGTTAGATAATGCTAAGCAGTTTCAAAGAGCTATTTAACGCAAGTAGATGCCGCTCATACAGTCTATATCCTTTAACAGTTTTTGTCCAGGGAACAGGGGAACTTGATACAAATACAAGACAAAGGAGATAAGAGCAGAACATAAGTTCCCGCTTTTGTATTAAATTTACAGCTAAATGATAAAATACACATACATTATTTAGCTTAAAATTATGGTGCATATGTATGCAAGTCACATAAAATGGAAGATCATCTAATTAAATGTATTTTGTGTGTTTGTTCCAGGAGCAGCCGAATAGCCCACTGATTCACCTGAAATACAATAATCTCTTCTTCTCTGCCATCTTGATCACTGTGGCTCCATTGGAGCTGAAAATAAGCCAATCAGGAATGGTCGTTGGCCACCTGCAGGAAGTTGACCGTGCACTTATCTCCACCCACCTCCGCCTGCAGCCAGATAACAGTCTCAACAGTTGGAGTATCTGCTTGTTCACCCTTGCAACGTGATGGACACCAAAACACTCTAACGGTCTGATCCACAACCCAGAGGGACTTTGTTTGGTTTGTAAAGGGAAGTCCGCAGACTGAAGGTTTCACTGAAAGTTACAGTAGATGGTTCATATCATGTAAAAAATTGAGGGTGTTATTTAAAAACGTGAGAGACGTTGTTGTTAAATAGGAAGGCTCTTGTAAGACTGTTAATTGAGTTCCAGCGCACAGCGGCGGCAAACAGCACCATGAGCGTCCCGCTTTTTGCACCAACTCCTATCCAGCCGGCTCATCCGACTCCCTTCTACATCGAGGACATTCTGGGGAGGACTGCCTCTACTACCTACTCTCCCTCGTCGTCTTCATCCTCCGCCTCTTCATCCTCCTCCTGCGCCACGCTGGTTATCCCAACACCGACTCTCGCATCGCCCAATTCTTCGTTCACTAGTGTAATCTCACCGTACCGGGCGCCGATGTATGAATCCACACCGATCCACGCGGCGCTGTCTCACCATGCAGCTGCAATGTTGACAACGACGTACGCCTCCGCCGGGGCTTTCGCCGGCCCCATCTACCCGTTCCACCACCAGCAGAACCGCTCCATGGGGGAGTACGCACAGGCTCTGCTGAGGCGCGACCAGCTCGGTGAGTTGGGCAAATGACTTGCGTGAAACTCGTAAATAATTCGGGGTGTAGGCATAGGTATTGCTTACTCATTTATTGTGAACGTAATTTACAGAATTTCCTTGAACATCCTGCAAGATAAACCAACTGACCTAAATTGAGCCCATTTCAGCCCAACAGTCAGGCTTGCGCAGTGGATGTGAGAGCAGTTAACACACTGTGCATCAAAACTATTTTTTTTATTTTCAAAAATTTCGTTTCAGTACCAACGAAACCAATTTTGCATTTGCAAGTGTGTCACGCTTGGTCATGCTTGCATATCGAGCTCGCGACCGTATAGTTACATATAACCTATACATAAACAAAGTGTGAAGGTTTGGTGGCTTGTTGTGTTCGGCTCATATTATTCCAGAAGAAACAGTTGTGCCGTGTTGTGCCGTGTCATTGACATTGTCATTACAACAGACATATTTGGGGCCTTTCTTTCCATTCAGTTTGCTGTGGTGGTGTGTGTGTGTGTGTGTGTGTG